CGCTGAGAATATCTCTTTTCCACCAAGGGCTTGAAAAGGTCGTCAGAGCTGGATATATTTTATTGGCTAAATTTCTTACCTTTTCTATCTTGGAAACACCTCTTGCATCCAAGTCTGACTACCACTAATTGCACGAATGCTTTGCCTATAACTTAATGTTTGTCTCTGGTAGCGACTTACCAATCGTTCTCGTAAAAATTACAGATCCGTATCTAGGGTCTTCATTGCTGGAAGACATATCCAATCTAGTACCAATCCCGCCGGAAAAAACTTAGGCGAGTCATACCGTTACGATTAGCTTATACCATGACTGTTCATAAAATACAAAGACTAACCTGTGCACACGTAGCCTTTTATTCGGAGTCTATACCAAACATATCATTTGTATACGTAGCGCTTTCACGTATAAAGCATCGCAATTTTATCGTAATAAATAATCGTTTGACATTAGAAAAATATACAGGAGCCCCCGAACAAATAGCCGTTTTCCGGAGAGAGGAAGAGCGCGTTTCAAAAGCCGTTTCTCGAACTACACAAGCTAGTTTATCGCCTAAATACAGATTGAAGCAATGACTCGTGCCTCAGCGCGTCTGTGGTGTCCCGGCGTGGCCACATGGCAAGGACGCGGGCGAAGAATTTTAACAGGTCTAACCCAAAACGGTACTATTTGCTTCTGCCGTGTGAACAGAGGTATTGTGCTGAAACGCGTATCGCAATGCTTAGATTGGCAGCCTTATGATATAGTTAATCGGCCATACAAGGAATCACGAGTAAAATTGAAGTCGTTGTTATCGTCCAATACCACGTACTGTTACCAATACGAGCTCTTGCAGAACAGTGCTATCATCAGTAAAAAATAGCAACACTAACGCGCACACATGTGGCTCTGTTGTATTGTAAACAGAGTCCGACAAATGTAATTTCACTTTGTTTTCTCCACATAACGACGGTCCTCTACTTTATCAAATGATCTTCTCGTGTCTACCGACAGAAATAAAAACGGATTATAACGTATGATGGAGGATATATATATAAATATATCTGTATCTACAGATACCGCTCCCACTTCTGCTATCATCACTTTCTAATACCCTGTTAATATCGATGCTTTACATTTGCTTAATTTACTGCGTACTGTATATATTTTAGGGCTAAAAATGGATCTTGCACCGACCTAAGAAAAAACACCCATCATATTTGATATAACACCCTGATGGGTTCTTAAGCACGCCACGTCATGCCATGTCACGAAATGCTGTGATCCGATAAGGTAAACGTTTACTAGGGGTAGAGTTTACAGTAAATTTAATGGCAGGAAGTGCCACGGATAGCATCCGTAAGTGCCATGACAAAGTGCAATGGCCATGTGTCATGCTAGTTTTTTTTTTTTTCTAAACATCAACTACAGTAGCGTTATCCGTCCGTCACACGAAACGCTTAGATTTTATAGCTTTCTCATTGGCTGCCGAGCGGAGTGAAGGCGGATCCGATTGACCAAAAAATACCTGCTGTCGAACACAGCGAGGTGGCACCTGGTGCAACCTTGCGTGACCGATGGGCCCGCCCCAGCCACAACTTATCAACTAACCATGCGAGTAGTGCAGCGAGTCCGTGGCAAGCGGAACGGAAGCGTAACAAGTGATATAGATTGTAGTTGAGGTATGCTAAAATAATATGTAATGGCCGCTCCGTCCGTACAGCGTGTAAGCCCGATGCACTACCAGGATAAAATTTCGATGTAACGTTATCGGTATTTTGCATACAAAGTGCAGTAACAATATTTTGTGTAATGCACCATCTTATGACAGCTTAATTCTGGATCGTTGTTCAATAAATGTCGCGTCCGATTCAGCAACTTCCGGTATTTACCATTAAAATTTAATTTAAACAAATTGATATTTGGTATCCAGATCCACGCTTGAAATGAGCGCATTTGTATCGCAAATATACACCATTAAAACCCAATTATATAGCGGATTGATTTAATAATACTCGCATTTTTCCAGAAACATCGATTATCGTAACAAAGTATGATAAAGCGACTCTCAAAACGCTTTTTTTTCACGCTATTTTGTGCTGAAAAGGCTGGATGTTCTGCTGTCAAAATCACTCAAGCTTTTAATGTGACTAGCAGCTTTCTTTTGTCTATTTGTTTACCACTAATTTATTGAGTCTCACCCCCGTCGAATTACAAAAAAATTAAAGACGGACAACTATTGTAAGAACCGGCTAGTTTGCCTTGACAGTTTCGAAATCAGCCGATTTATACGTTGATTTATAAACCTGAAAATAGCTAAATTGGTTAGCATACTCAAAATAACATCAGTATACTCAGGTTTATTCACGTAATAATGCCACCTATTAATAGTAGCAGCAAGCTTTACAGAAGAATGCCCATGTCAGACCTGATAGTCTTTTTCGGATAAACTCTCTACTGCTCTCTCTTCAACCTTACTGCAGAAAGTATTGTAGCTATCTCTTTCGTTATTAAAGAAGAATACGAGGTCCATCACTTGCACTTCTGCTCTGCTAGACTTTGTGACCTCTCTATACTAGCTGAGTGCTTGGACGAACGCCGTTGTCGAAGTGAGCAACTACATTAAGCCAAGTCAGACTGCACGCCAGCGAGATTGGGTTGCACTAACAGCAGACAATTTCGCGCTACTAGTTGATTCAGCCTATACTAACTACCAGAAGCGCACAAAGGACTCCGGCCCCTTTAAAATTGAAGTGTTTGTTCTCGCTGCGAAGAAGGAGCGCCACACGCTCCCAGGGACCCTGCGTGCTACTGCATCACGAATTCAACGAGCTACAGCTACTATCGATGGGTACTTGGCACAGAGGCCCAAGCTCCAAGTTGGAGAGATTGCCAGAACCCACTGGTCGATCTCCCATGCCCGCCAGCCAGAGAGCTGTATTCTTACACCGCCGGACACTGCTACCTTCGCTCAAGCTCAGCATCTCGACGCTATGCTGGCTGAAGAGAAGGTTGAAGAGGAGAGCGAGTACGGCACAGCCAATGTACGGATTCACGGGTCGCGAGAGATTCCAATCACATTTAACATACAAGAGTTTCGCAGAGTTATGCCGGTGCCCAACTACAACCTATTGGCGAGCGGGGTCTTTTCGTCCTTTGTGCCTCCACAGGAGCCAGACGAAGACGTCGAAGACTTTGATCACGCCAGTGATTAGCGCTCCATCACATTCAAGTAGGTGAAAACAATGCATTAAATCTAAAATTTGTCTCGCCACGCTCGATAAAATCTCATTTATTACCTGTTTCTTCGAACCTATACTCAAATCAATCGCTGGAATTCGGCTTCGTTTGACCTCACTTTTTTTAAAAAGGAGCAGCGGATACTAGCCTCAAAACCATGATAGTAGTAGCGGTATTGATACTATCGAGACTAATTAAACAGAGCTATGCTGAAGCTAGTTATCGAAAGTTAGGTACTCACAAATAGTACCCTAAAGAGTATAATTGTATCGTGTTGAAGATTACTACTACTACTACTCATATTGAAAACAGTACAACATGATAGCTGTATGACAGCTACTATTAGGGGGAGTCGAACATTAAGAAATGATCCAAAAAAATAAGCAGAGACGTGTCCAATTTGTAAGCGGATGAGAGCACAATTACTGAGCAGAAACAGTAAAAGGGAAGTCGAACATTGAGGCTCAATTTCGCACTTAAGAGACAATTTGCATTTTCTAAAGCGACGACTCGCACGGACACTACTGTGCCACAGTCTGTGGCGCCGCAATAGGCTACAGGGGCGCGTGCCCTGGTGCACTGTCGCCGTGCTATGGGTGCAGCCTTCTGTGCGGCATCTATCTCCAACATGTGTGCTGCACGCCGCGCCTTGGGGCACCCGACTTCTGGCCGGAGACGGTTGCAGAGTGGCGCAGCCATACACGGGCTCCTCCATTTTCATGCCGGTCTGGTCGGTGGAAGGGAGGATTATTTAGGAAATAAAAGGGCTAGCTCATTTTGAATGTGAAGTGAGCAGCTTGTTGTCAAAAATGTGAGCGTAATCCGAATGAAATTTGAGCACGTTTTTTGCAATGTTCGACTCCCCTATTATCTATCGGTATTGTGCTCACCTTCGCTTTTGTAGCATCTCCTGCTATATGTTTTATTCCTCCCTTCCGACATTACAGATACCGCTTCCACTTCTGATATCCTAACTTAGGATATATATTTAAGAACCACCCTCACCCTGAGGGTGGCTCTTAACCACTGCCACGCGTGCCATGCCATGGCACTAGAAATTGAACCATGGCATGGCGTGGCTACTAATAGATTTGCCCTGCCATAATACCATCATGAGAACTATTTTTAGAACATACATTAATGAAGATAATAGTAGCATGGCACATGGCCTTTGCCATGGCACTTCCTGTCATTTTATTTACTTTAAACTCTAGCCCTAGCAAGCGCTCATCCAATCGGATCAAAGCATTTCGTGCCATGGGCAAAGTGCAATTGCCATGTGCCATGCTACTATTATCTTCATTAATGTATGTTTCTAAAAATAGTTCTCATGATGGTATTATGGCAGGGCAAATCTATTCGTAGCCACGCCATGTCATGGCTCTCTTAACGAATAAAATCGCCCTGTCATCGTGCAATCATGAAAAATATTATCGAGAAACACCACATTGGCGAAGAGTAGGCGTAGCTGCCGCTGCTTCGCGGCAGCGGCAATGGGATGCTACTTATGATGCGGCTACCTTCACGAAGCCAAGGCTGTTCTGCCCTCGCACAAACGTCTTTTATACATCAGCCACTGGTTAATCTAGCCAAAAAGACCTAGCCAATAAATTGAGCGGCTCAAATCAAATCGCTTGTACAATTTACGGTTGATTTGGTTACAGAGGCCACCGCTACGTAAAGTCGATTTCCGTAAAGCACTTCAATGACTTTGTTACTGCATCACGTGGTCCACACCTCTGTGTGCTGAAGTTTTGTAACGACCAGTTTGTAATCGAGGACGATGGCGCCGATGACTATGAGTGACGACGCGTGCCGCGTGTGCGGCAAGGAGGATGACGAGGAGTTCCTGGTGCTGTGCGACGGGTGCGACCGCGCCTTCCACACCGCTTGCGTTCAAGGATGCACCTGCTGCAACACGAAACCGCGTAACAACTTTGCACGCAAGCCAGCGGTGCCCGAGGGCGACTGGTTCTGCAAGTTCTGTGCTGGTCGTATCCCTGCAGTGGGTACGTGGTGCTGCTATCCTGGATACTGCAACTTAATGTCGAAAACGCCGCAATAAATGGTGGATGGATGTCTTACTGTCTGTGGCTTTTTAATGGACTTTAGAGGACGGGAAGGCGCCTGTGTCTTCTGTTTTCGTGTGGGGGGACAACGAGGATGGACAGGTTTGTCATTTTTCCGGTGTTGAAGGCGATTAATGGCTACATTCTCGTAGTCGAAGTGATGATTGTTCGTGTATTTGACTCTGTATTGAACTGGTGATTGTGTAGCTGGCTCTCCCAGATTCGGACGCCAAGGTGATCTGGAAGCCCACCAAGGTGCACGAGCTGGACGGTATTGGTATCTTGGACATCGCTTGCGGTGAGACGTGCACGTACGCGCTATGCAATGATGCGAACCTGTACTCGGCTGGAACGGGCCTGAGCGGCCAGCTGGGCCACCAGGATATCATGCACGAGAAGCTGGTTCACTTCCGCATGGTGTGTTCTTGCTCTCAGAAAAACAGTAGCAGTCACCATGAGGACGGTACTCGCTAACTAGCTCCCTGGTCCTTGTACGTAGGTGGAGTCCATGACGGAAGACAAACGTTCCAAGGGCGAAGGAAGGTACGATTTTTTAAAGATTGGGTCTATAAATGCAATATCGTTTCAGCCTTCGACTGTCTGACAAATTGTCCTGCTGCAGATTCTCGCAGATCCACGCTGGCTCCAATTTCGGTATGGTCATCACGACCGAAGGACATGCTTACACGTGGGGAAATGGAGAACTTGGACAGCTAGGCCACCAGGAGAACAAGAATAAGAAAGTGCCAAAGAAGATTTCTGCGTTGAGAGAGCTTGAAGTGCCTGTTAATCTGGGTAAGGTCTGCAATTGCTGTGCATCGACGTGCCTCGCTATGATACGCTAACACATACATGTCCTTAGCAACTTGTGGGAGCGACTTTGTCATCATGACAACCAAAGACAACGGCGACGACGACCAGTTTAACACCAAAAAGCCGGGCGTTTTCATGAGCATGGGGTCTAACACTCAAGGGCAGTTGGGCGATGCGTCTAACAAGAACCAGTGGGTCCCGCAGCTGCTCAACAACGACGCTCCAGAATTCACGAGCGTAAGATGAAGAAGACGCGATTGGTCGATCAAAGTGAAGGCAGCAGACTTCTCACTCGGAAATATGTGAATGTGTAGCCTGAAAACCAGGATATCGATGATCCTGCCGAGTTCTTGCTTGGTCGCGACATCACGCAGCTAGCTGCCGGGAGATCTCACGCTGCCGCGGTCGTTGCTGGGTATGTTTTTGTTTTGTTTAAACTGTGAGCCCACAGTGTGGGAGATCTAACGAAATGTTTCTCTTCTCCAGAACCAAGAGCCTCTGGACGTGGGGCTACGGTGATCGCGGTATGTTTCTACATAGTACCATGTTTGGCTTTATTGTTAAAGAAGTACTCATAGTTGTTTGTCGTTTACCGCAGGTCAAATCGGACACCCCAAGCCAGCTCCGATTGCGGGCCAATCGAAGTTTTTCCGCTCTCAATTCCGTGTTCCTCGCCCTCGGTTTGTCCAGGTGTGTACATGCAAGTACGGTACTTTAATGGCCACAGCAATAACGTCGTTTCTTTACAGGCATTCAAGAACGACGTGGTCAAGCTCGTCGCATGCGGTGCTCAGCACACCCTCGTGCATTTGACGGATGGACGTCTGTTTGCTATGGGCGACAACGAGTTCGGCCAACTCGGCATTAAACGTGGCGAGACGTCGGAGGAGAACTGGGTGGATACGCCCGTGCATGTCTCCACGTTTGGGGCTGAAAAGGGTGTTAAGCAAATTGGCTGCGGCGACGACTTCTCGGTGGTTTTAACGACGACTAACGACGTGTACACTTGGGGTCGAAACCAACTGGGCCAACTTGGACTGGGCGACGCACAGACTGAGCCACTGGACACGCCCACGAAAGTGCCCGATCTCCCGCCCATTCAAAAACTGGCGGTCGGTATCAACCAGGTCTTCGCCATTGAATTCACCGACGGTACGGCAGTCTGAACGTCGTGCGTGTAGTGAGTGTCTTTAACAACTAACTCTTCTTGTCTTGGTTAGTGACGCTCCCACCCCCGATCGTCCGTGCTGCTGCCGGTAAGCGAGGAAGAGGTCGTGGCGCAGGAGCAAGCACCAAGAAAGCAAGAAAGTAAATACCGCAAGGAAGAAGAGCGAAAGCAAAGATGGCTTGTCGCTTTGTAGCAACTTAATCTGCTTCAACAAGCCTTAAGTTGCGCTAACTCATCTAAGTACGAAGTACGTTTTAGCTTTTTGTGCTGTCTCATTTAGATTCATCCGCCCCTTGTAATCATAGCGCTTCCCCTCTTATTCGTTGCTTGATGAACCCCCAGCACTACGCCACGTACAACCCGCAGCAGCAGCAACAGCAGTTCTATGCGGGGGCGGGGGCTTATGCGACGCAGAGCGGCGGCATGAGCGCTCCATCGTTGCACACGTGGGTGCCGCCGTCTCCCCAGGAACAGCAGTACTACGATATGCTCTTCGCCCACGTGGACGACCAGCGTCGCAACGCAATCAACGGACAGCAAGCAGTCGCGTTTTTTGCTCGCTCGCACGTTGACAAGACCATTTTACGCGAGGTCTGGAGCATTGCAGACGCCCAGAGGAGGAGCGAATTATCTCGCAACGAATTCTACGTGGCTATGAGACTTATTAGTATGGCACAGAGAGGAGAGCAAGTGTCAGTGCAGAGATTTTTCCAAATGGCAACGATGCAGTACCCACTTCCAGCTATGGACGGGGTGCCACCGCCTCAGCAGCAGCCGATACAGCCTCAAGCTCAGATGCATGCTCCTCAACAGGATTTTGGCTCTGTACATCAACAAGCCACGGGATCGCAACCAACGGGGCCATACGCTCTTACGACTGACGAGAAAAGCAAGTATAGTATTGTGTTTCAACAGTACGACACGGATCACGATGGATTCCTCATGGGGCCCGAGGCGGTGGCACTGTTTCAGATGTCTGGGCTCGATCGCAATGTACGTGCAACAAGGTTCTTGTTTAAAGAATCATGTCTTGACAACAATAACTATGCTGCAATTAGGTGCTGCGAGATATCTGGTCAATGGCAGATGTGACGCAGGATAGCAAACTGAGTGTTCAGGAATTTTACGTGGCGATGCATTTGATCGTTTGCGTGAGCAAGCGTGGGTTGCCCATGCCGTCGACATTGCCACGGGAGCTTGGTGAGACAGCATTTGGCTCAAGTGCAGCTGTACCTGGACATAGCAATCAGATGTCAGCACCTTCAGCGCAAAACGGATTTCCGGTGCAAACGCAGCACGAGAGCGTGCCACCACCCAAGCCTGAAGGCATGTCCGCTTTCGATTCGTTCGCTACTGTCGAGGATACTCCACTGCCAACAATAGCGTCCTCCACGCCACGTTCAAATTCTTTCAACCACGTCGATAGTAACACAACAAACAGCCTCACGGGAGGATTCAGTGAGCCTTCAGCTCCGACTCCTACTGGCGGCTTACAAGGTTTGCCAGCACCAGCCTCACAGGATTTCGGTAGCTTTTCGGCCACCCCGGCAGCCAGCGTCACGAGCGGAAGAGACCGTACAAACTCGGCGTCGTCAATGAACTCAATGTCCAGCTTCAGTGGCATGGCACCACTGCCACCTCAACCACCGGTTCAACAGTTTCCCCCACGTAATTTTGGCTGCCATGAGCGCATCCAAGCTCAACATTCTGGCTTCCAGGCACCCCAGCAGACATATCCAGGCTTCGGAGCTGAGAGCTTTGGGTCCTCGGCCGCTGCTCCGGAAAAGCCTTTCATGAGTGACGATGAGGAAAAGAAGGTGGTGGGACAGCTTGACCAACAGAACCAGCAAGTTATTCAAGCTCTAGCGAGTGTCGAGCGCAAGCAAACTGCTATCGAGATGATTTCCGAGAAGCTACGCGATCTAGATGAGCTGCGTCACGAGCTGGTGACTCTCGTCATGAAGAGAGAAGATCTACGCTCTGCATCTAATTCTACCTTCGCAGCAGGTGACAATGCTGCTGAAGAGCATACCAGACTTGCTGTTGAACATAGTCTGCGGAGTTTAGTGGAGAATCAGAAGCAGCTGATCCAGCAATTGCAGTGTGACGTCGCTAGACACGAAGGCGAGTTGGAAGAAGCCATACTGAGCGCCAAGCTACAGCAAAAATTGTCACTAGAGTCCCGATCTTCATTAATCGATGCAGCATCTCCAACTCACGACTCCGATAGGGCTGGTGGGTCCAAGACTTTCGTCCCTGCCCCGCTTTCGCTAGATGGATCGAACGCTTTACCGTCTCCTGTGGCAGCTCCCAGCGCCCCTTCTGTCTCGGCATATTCACCGGATGCGACCGACAGCAGCGGCTTCAATGCATTTAGCAACTTTGACTCAGCGCCGCGATCGATTGCAAGTGTTACACCCTCATCGACGGCTGGGGTTCCGTCAGGCTCGCCTTTTTCTCCCACGCCTTCTCCATCTCAAAATGCGACTGCGAGCGATAGTTTCACCGGGTTTGGAGACTTCGTCGCCCCGCCATCTGTTGACGCAACGTCGCCACTAGCTGCTACTGATGTCCCAGGGAGATCGCCGTTTTCTCTGGCACCGTCGCCTGCCGCCGCAAGTGATAGCGCTGGCTTCGACGCTTTTGGCTCGGCTCCCGTTTCAGCTGATGGTCCTGCACCGTTGTCCTCGCCAGCACCAGTTGAAGCCTCGCCATTCTCGCCGTTTTCTCCGTCGCCGTCGCCTGCCGCAACAGATGATATTGGCTTTAATGGTTTTGGTGATTTCAACGCTGCTCTGTCCTTTATCCCCGCGGCTACTGAAGCTCCTGGACACTCTCCGTTTTCTCCGATGGCTTCACCAGCCGCAGATACGAGCGTCAGTACGGTTTTCAGCGCGTCATTCGATACCCCGGCGAAGATCGATGCACCTGAAGGCTCACCATTCTCGCCTTCCCCATCACCAGCCGCGGCGGAGACCCCAGCGTTTGATGCATTTGCGGCCGCACCACTTTCCAACGATAGTGCTGCGACGCCTGCCAGCGCTACTGCTGCCACTGAAAACTTGATTTTCTCTCCAGTTGCTGCGAATAACAGCGGATCGAATACATTCGGTGACTTTGGTGCTGCGTCGCACGATGCAGCGTCGTCCGAGACAACGGTCAAGCAAGAATCGACTGGGAACTTGTTGTTCTCCTCGACTCCTTCTCCAGCCGCGGCATCGACCAGTAGCGGCCTTGACGCGTTCGGAGACTTCAGCGCGCCTCCTGCTTCGACGGATAGCACGGCGTCAGTCCTGGCACCGGAGAAAACGATGGGGAACTCGCCGTTCTTCCCAGTCGCTTCGGACAATAACGACTTCAATGGCTTTGGTGATTTCAGCGCACCTCCAGTGCACAGTGCCACGTCGTCTGCTCCTGATAAATTGACAGAGGCTTCTGGCAGCTCAGTGTTCTCGCCCGTAGCCAAGAAAAATGCTGGCTCCGGCTTCGAAGTGTTCGGGGATCTCAACGCCGCCCCAGCCTCGACTGACAGCGCTGCAACACCTTCCGACGCCCCAAATTCGGCAAATGTCAGCGGAGGCTCGCCGTTCTCGCCCGTAGCCAATGACAACACTGGACTCGGAGACTTCGGCGGCTTCAATTCAGCTCCTGCCCCGACCGAGAGCACTCCGGAGACCAAGTCAGCGGAGGTTTCTGGACACTCATTATTTTCGCCTGTTGCCACAGATAGCGGATTCGGAGATTTCGGCGATTTTAACTCAGCTCCGGTCTCTGCGGATAGCGCCAAACCCACAGCAACAAAGGAATTAACCGACAGCAACGGCTTCGAGGCGTTTGAAGACTTTAGTGCTGCCCCATCGGCCGCATCTGCCGACTTTGGCAGCTTCAGCTAATTTCTTTCAAATAAAAAGCATTTTTCACAACTAAAATACACAATAGGTTGATATCTGACCAATCGGAGTGCGTTATTCAGAAGTTGAAGCGAAGCGTCGTTCGCATTCCTGAGCGCAGGATACGACGTCATGGTGAGCGGTCCCGAGGCGCTACGCATCGCCATTCGCGATGGGATTCTAGAGAGGAAGGTGCGTAGATCTAGGCCGTATATCCACGCGCAAGTTCGCCGCTGTTTGCACTCCTAAAACCCGAAAAATTACAAAAATTACTGATAAAACGTGCAAATTTATTTAACTGTTAGCGTCGTGCAGGCTACTGGACCAAGCGGCAATTCGTATTGACACCCACGCATTTAATGTACTTCGAGTCTTTGGATGCTAAAGAACCTGCGAACTCCTTTGCGACCATGGAGATCATGGCGGTCCAGAAGAGCTCCAGTGACCCACAACAACGGATATTTACGCTCGTACTCTTCAAAAAGAAGAAAGAGTACCGAGCTAGGAGTGCAGAGGAGAGAGATGCTTGGGTGGAAGTGCTAGAGTCCGTCTCCGGGATGAAAGGGGCGGGTGCCGCCTCTGTACCAGTGAAGAAGGAGGAAGTACTGACTCGTGATGAGCCTCCAATGGGTGAGGACAGGGAGAAGGAGAGCAAGGCAGACAGAGAGAGTGGCAGTAGTGTCCAGGAAGTCAAAGACGTGGATCTACGAGCTCTCTGTGAACAGATGAAGAAATCTTTTTCGTGGCAGATCCAGATCAGCAAATCCTTCTCGTCGAAAGATGTCGCCGAGTTTGTGAAGAAGACGCTCCCGCATTTATCATCTACTCAGATCCAGGAGGTTGGCCAGGGATTTATCGACTTGAAGCTGATAATTCCGTTGAAGTCGCATGTTTTCGATGTTGCGGACCCGGGAAGGTTCAAGTTTGTGGAGATGGCAGTGCCGAAACAGCCCAAGAACCATTTAAGTATGGGAGGCCCATCGATCGCGAACCTTATGGGCAACCAACAGTTTAACGCGAGGAAATATGCAGAAGATTTCCTGCGCAAACATTCGCAGCTGAAAATTGACTCGCACTGCAAGAAGCTCGTAGCTCAGAAGGTCTGCTGCGTGTGCACTGGATTGAGCGATGGTGTGGACTTGTACTCACTTGTAACTCTGTCGTTCGCACGCTAGGAAAACACCATCGAAGATCTGAAAGAAGAAATTAGTGCAAACTACACGTCGTTTATTCGCGCGGCCGACGAGATCAAAACGATGGAGAACAGCGTGTCGCAACTGAAGACGTTGGTGCTGGAGTGTAGACGGACAATGCACACGTTGAAAGGTGTTGCATTGGAGCCTCCGCCTGGTACGAAGCAGGACACGAAGTGGTGTGGAATAACTGGATTGAGTTTGAGGTTTAATGTTTTTTTAACTGTTTAGAAAAAGTGGCACAAGTCGATTTCAAAGCAGTTGACAAGAAAGCAGACGAACGAAAGCAGAGCATGGCGTTGGACGAGTTTATAAACGATCTCGAAGTGCATCTTTACGAGAGAAACTACGAGCAATTCACTCAGCTGATGCTCGAGTACAAGCGAAAAGAGACGCAGGGGATCGAGTCTTCCACTGAGTCACAACAAGCGAAAGTAAGACCGGGTGTTGGGGTTAAATGGATTAATTGTTGTTTAAAACCAAGTTCTGTCCGAACAGATTGACGAGCTTCGACACTTGCTAGTCGAAAAACTGGTCGACGAGTTCAATGCGTCATTGCAGACATCCGAGCGTATGCACAAGAAGGAGAACCACCTCGAGTTCTTGATCCAGTTAGGAGAGACTCAGTTGGCAACGGAGATGTGCTTGCAGAATTACTCGGTTCGAATCGCTCTCCAACTGCGACACGTACCGTCCTATGGGAACGCTCTCAACTACATTATCAATTTCTCCCGAACTTTTTTCACTTCTCTCCTGGTGTGCTACGAGGACTACGAACACAGGTATGAGATGCTTGTCAAAAGTCCACAAATATCCTGAAGTTTTAACACCTTACTGTGCGTCTTTGTAGCTTTCGAGGACAGAAAAGCTCGCACTTTATCTCCTTGACTGTATGGATATCTTCCCAACTTGAACATTTCGCGAGTGAAGTCACGTATCACATTTTCCCGAATGATCCAAGTGCTTCCACATCGCGAAGCTCATCTGCAGCAGGAGATTTTTCGTCACCAGGTAGCTGTGTGGCCATCGACGTCTCGGAGTTTAAAAGTGTTGCGAAGTACGTGTCCAGTGCACTTCGATACGTGTTTTATGGGTCGCGGCAACTGGAACTGGCAGGATTACCCACCGCACACTATTTGGCACCGTATTTAGCTCGAGGGTTAGTGTCCTTTTTCACGAGCTATTGCGTTGCAGTCAAGAACACAATACGAGAAGAGATTAAACGGGAGCGGTGGGAAATGACGTCACGGACGATTCGCGATCCAGAGAACAAAGTGGAGCGTGAAATTATTCTGACGCAGAGTGCGCGATCCTTTTACACGCTGGTGCAACAATTTCTTCGCGATGTACAACGTGTGATGAATCCCTCGTGCGCTACATCGAAGTAAGGATTGGCAGCTTGTATGTAACTTGTGTGACGACTAACGTTGCTGTTTCTGTATATAATCACAGTCTTGCGGAGGTTCATGGCGTTGTGGTGTGGGAAGCCGACGAGCTGCTAGTCCGGCACAGTTTTGAAGAGCTTCAGTATTTAGAATCTCCGAAGCTATCGTCTTCGTTGCGACCGAAACATGTTATTGGTATCCTCACAAACGCCGCGTATATTCAAGATGACTGTGCGGCTCGGTCAACAAATATCCTTCAAGAGTATTTGCCCAAAGCTGCATTGCAGAATAGAGAGGTGGAAGCGAAGGTATGTACTAGTTTCTAGCGTGGTGGATAACTCGCTTTAAACTGACTGTAAATGTGACTCGCAGAACTCGGTTTTATGGGATAAACTCGTTACTATAGGCGTGAAGCGATGCGCGCAGTCGTTGATGAAAATGTCATTCAGTTGGCAGGATATGGAGCTAGCCGACGAGAGTCTCCCAGAGACTCCCACAATCTCATTATTTGCTGGTGTGGTAGCTAAGGAGCTTGCTGACGTCATGACGAACAATCAGCTCAACAAAGCTGTGAGGAATCGCAACTCTGCAGCTGATGACAACGACGTAGGGACGCAAGTCTCATTTGCTGGTTTGGTGCTTGACGCTTTACTTCGCGAGATGCTAGAAGATGAGTCGTGGTGGCAAAACTTCAGCGGCAAAGGTGGAGCAGGACGCAAACGATTGGGATACGGCGGAGTGAACATGTTCCTAGCAGAGATTTACGCTCTTCGAGACATGATTCCAGCGAACAAATGCGTGTTGGAGTTAGCGGGCAAGATCGACACGAAGATGATGGAGATTTACCAGCAGCTATATCCTGGGAGGAAAGACGTCCGTGCACCAGCAGAATGGACTCAAACCTACGCTAAACGATGCATCGCAGCGGCACCTTCCATACGGTAAATAATGAACCAACAGGTATGAATGATAAGCAAGTAAAGGGTTGATTCATTCACTTTAAAAAACCGGGGCTCGTTAAGCCAATAAGGCTGTTGTTTTGTACTGTAGAAAGACAGCTACGTCCTAATCTCATTTGCCGGCAAAATAAGAGACCAGCGAGCTGACTTGCACGAAGGGATTTTTGGGGTTCTTGGACTTTCCTTGGATCGCCTTGATAGCCGAGTCCACTTCTTCCTCTGTGAAGAGCTCGGTCTCTCGCTTTAGCATGCGAGAAATATAGCGAATACTAACCGTTCCCGACTCTTCTTCGTGATCTTCCACCAGGTTCAGGATCATGTTGCGCTGGAATTCTGGCTTGGTGGATGGGATCTTTCCATCTCGGAAGGTGTGCAGATTGAAGACGCCCATGTGCTTGGCAATGAAGCCATGGTAGTCCACCTCCAGCTCTTTCAAGACACCCGAACGGATGTCGTACACCATGCCGTGAATACGCGGAGCTCCATAAAGACCCATGCGACGCTGGACCATGTTGATCTTGAAGATGTTGAGGCATTGCTCTTGGATGTTCAGCTCGACCAAGCGACGCTCACGCTCCTCGTCCGTTTTGTACTGACTCAGTTCGTCCTTGTGCGTACGACACACGTCTCGAATGTTACGCAGCCAGTTGTCCAGTAGTCCGATCTGCGCGTTTTTCAAGGCCGCCGTCACTCCACCGCACCCATAATGTCCGCACACGATGATGTCTTTAACCTTTAGTTTCTCGACGGAGAACTGCACGACGGACAGCGAGTTGATGTCGTTGCTTACGACAAGGTTAGCGACGTTACGGTGCACGAACATCTCACCGGGGTTGAGACCCGTGATCTCCTCGGCAGGCACACGCGAGTCTGAACATCCGATCCACAAGTACCGAGGGGTTTGTGCCTTCGCAGTGCGCTCGAAGAACTCGGGATCTTTCTGAAGCACCCGGTCGCGCCACTTTCGGTTGTTCTCGAACAAATGCTGGAGCGAATTCGGATCGTGGTCGATGCAGCTATTGCTGTGGCCGTGCTTTAGAGCTCCCCGAGCGTCTCCCATGGTAGCTACGTGGTAAGTTGAGCGAGTGCGTTGCAGCGGAAAGAAGTCTGAATGAGCACCAAGCAGTTGCAAATACTTGCATCGCTCCAACGGATAGTGCGTTGTCAACCACCCCAGCTTCGTCCGTTTCGACTTATAGACTCACCCTTGCGGTGTGTCTTTATAAAGGCACATGACCTTTGTAACTTTTGCGATGTGCACTAGCCCTAAGAGTCTACACCCTGAACATGACGTAGCGAGTTCAACGGATCGTTTACAGTAATGCTTGAGTATAAGAAGCGCTGTCCCTAAATCTCTACAAAAAGCTAGCTACGAGGTTTGAATATGCAGATTACTCGATTTCCTTTGGCTTCATAGGGGCGAAGTAGGCAATGAGGTGCTTGACGTTCATGAAGGAATTATTAGGGTCGTCCATCTGGCCCTTGATCGTCTCGATCGCTTCGTCCACTTCTTCGGGGGAGAACAACTCCGACTCACGCTTAAGCATGCGAGCCATGTAGCGGATCCGAACCAATCCTGGTTCCCTTTCAAGTCCGTCTGGAAGATCCAAAATCAAGTTACGACGTCGATGAGCCAACCCCATTGTAGGTTCCCCATCGGGGAAAGCGTGTAGACTGTCCTCGCCAATAAGCTTGGCGTAGTATCCGCAGTAGTCGACCTTGAGCTCCTTGAGTGCTCCAGTCTTAACGTCGTACACGAGGCCATGAATGCCTGGCTGGTCGGGACGTCCAAGACGATGCTGCACCACATTCGTCTTGAAAATATTAAGACACTGCTGCTTGACGTTGAGCTCCACTGTGCGACGGTAACGAGCCTCTTCGGTTGGAAGAGCATCGAGCTCCTCCTTGTGGTTGCGGTGTACGTCGCGAACGGAGCGCAGCCAAGTGTCCAGGATCCCGATGTGTTTGTTCTGTATAGCTGCCTTCACTCCACCGCAGCCATAGTGACCGCACACAATAATGTCCTTCACCATAAGTGCTTCGACTGCGTACTGCACGACGGAGAGGACGTTGATGTCGTTCGTCACCACAAGATTGGCTACATTGCGGTGACAGAACATCTCACCGGGATCCAGTCCTGTGATCTCTTCTGCGGGGACTCGAGAGTCCGAGCATCCGATCCAGAGGTAGGGAGGATGTTGACCATCTGCAGTTCGGTCGAAGAGTGACGAATCACGCGCCATCAGCTCCTCGCGCCATTTCTTATTGTTGTCGAGTAAGTGTTGAATCGATTTCGACGAGTGGAAATGCTCCTCTCCTGTCCCTTTGCACTCTCCCAAGCACGTGGAAGCTGCTGTGGTAGCGCTCATCAGTTGTTGATGAGGGCTACTTGGGTCTTGTTGATCGGTCGGTTTAAAAATAATGATGATCTCTGCCCGGACAGAGGTCTTTGCGACAGCCATCTTAGCGGCCTAATCATCCGTGCTGTTGGCCTGCAGATTGTTCTGAGCGAGATTTGAAGCTCACAGTTTGAACTTCAAACTCTAATGGATTTTAGGGTGCTTCCAGCAGCTATTTACGCTGAACGTTGATGGTCATCACCAACATTTTTTCGATGGGCTGGATTTCCACAAAATTAAGTTGCATTATTGCCTAAAAAATACTACAAGTAGGTAACAGCTATTAACAACTACTTCTTATTCAGCCGATTTATACGTCGATTTATCATCCTGAAAATAGCTAAATTGGTTAGCACACTCAAAATAACCTCAGCATACTTAGGTTTATTCACGTAATTAAGCCACCTATTAATAGTTGCAGCAAGCTTTACCTGTGAATGCCCACTTCGACAACGGCGTTCGTCCAAGCACTCAGCTATGCCGACCCCAGTCTGTTTAAGAGTCAAAATAGGAGAGATCATAAGTCCAGCAGAACAGAAGTGCAAGTGAGGGACCCCGTATTCTCCTTTGATAACGAAAGCGATAGCTACGATATTTTCTGCAGTAAGGTTGAAGAGAGAGTAGTAGACAGCTTGCTAACTTACCCGAAAAAGACTATCAGGTCTGACATGAGCATCTACATTAAGCCAAGTCAAACTGCACGCCAGCGAGATTGGGTTGCACTAACAGCAGACAATTTTGCGTCACTAGTTACTTCAGCCTATACTAACTACCAGAAGCGCACAAAGGACTCCCGCCTCTTTGAAATTTACGTGTTTGAGCTCGCTGAGAAAAAGGAGCGCCGCACGCTTCCAGGGCCCGGCGTGCTACTGCATCAAGAATTCAAGAAGCTACAGCTAGTATCGATGGGTTCTTGGCACAGAGGCACGAGCTCCAAGTTGCAGATATTACCAGAACCCACTGGTCGATCTACCATGCCCGCCAGCCAAAGGGCTCTACCCTTACACCGCCCGACACTGCTACCTTCGCTCAAGCTCAGTATCTCGACGCGATGCTGGCTGAAGAGAAGGTTGACGAGGAAAGCGAGTACGGCACAGTCAATGCACTGATTGATGGGTCGCGAGAGATTCCAATCACATTCAACATACAAGAGCTTGGCAGAGTTATGCAGTTGTCCAACTACAACCTATTGGTGAGCGGAGTCTTTTCCTCCTCTGTGCCTCTACAGGAGCCTGACGAAGACGTCGAATACCTTGACTACGCCAGTGATTAGCGCTTCATCACATTCAATTTAGGTGGAAACAATGCATTAAAACTAAAATTGGTTTAGCTACGCTCGACAAAATCTACCTCCCACACACCCCTCTCTCCTCCCCATTCTTTTACTATGTACTGTATGCCGCCTCATTTACTCCTCCTGAACCATACCCGCAATGCTGAAAAGATTTATTCCATGCTCCTCACACCACAGGCATCGCTTCATCGCCACCTTCAAAACAAGCTCTGAGTAATGAGGGAAGACCAGATTAGCGTATTGTTGTATCCAGCTCTTCAGCCTGGCGAACATTACCTCAATTGGGTTGAGGTGTGGGCAATACGGAGGGAGATACAGCAGTAGAGCTCCTCATCTGTGCAAGGCTTCTTCAACCTCCTTGTACATGTGGATGACAGCGTTATCCATCACCACAATGAATCTCGGGAGCGGCCACGGGTTAAGGTGCTTCACGATTTGTCTGACGAACACTCAGTGAAAACGCTTGCGGCTGAAGGCTCCTCGCGTAGTCTCCCACGCTACAAAGCCGCGCACATCGCATGTCGCCAAGATTGATACACGCTTGCCTCACGTGAACGGCACCCGTACGACAGCTCTTTCATCTCTCTTTGACCATGCGTAGCGCCTCATTGAGTCCATCCCGCTCTTCGAGGTCTCGTCCAAGAAGATCAACTGCTCCGGGTAGCTGTAGAAGCATTGTAACTATGCCAGATATGTGTCCACCTCAAAAGATACAGCCTCCCTTGCCCGCCGATCAAGCACTTTACGATATAGCTTCAGCTTAAACCGGAGTAACCGAAGGATGCACGTTGCAGAGAGGCCTCGGTTCTGCTCAGAAAACCGCCGCTTCACCTCTGCAAGATGCTCCTCAACATAGAAGCAGGGATGATCCTTCGCATACGAAGCGACATAAGCTACAATGTCAGCAGGATACACTGGTCGAGCCTCTCTCTCCTTGGTTAACACATGCACAGTCTCCTCGATCTGGGCATACCGCCTCCTCACTGCTCGACTCGAAACTCTGAGGACGCGCCCAACCACCTTACATGGCACTGCGTAAGCGTAGTATAGCGGAACTGCGCGCCACTTGAAGTCTACTGAGTACATGGCCGTCTTGGACTTCAGTTCGAGGGAGAAGAACGCCGAATGACAGCGATTCGATTTAAATTGTGGAATTGAATGTAGGAATTAGACTAAGTACAAAATTTTACTCCGTTTTACATGGAACGTGAACTTATTTTTTATGAATGCTTTTTTAGGCATATTTAAATGTCCCCAAGATGACCATTTGGATCGGTTTTGACAATAAAACCAAGCCTCGGACGAGGCGACCTCAATAGATGCGGTTTTACTGGTATTATTGCCTCCCGTGCGGAAAGGGAGACAGTTTTACCAGTATTATCGTCTTATTCGCAAAATCTCCAAAGAAAGAGACGAAACGACAATCTCTAGATATCCTCGTCGGTCCTTTGCATTTCGGTTTCATGATTTCCATTTGACTCCATGCCAAGCTATCAATCTCCCGACTTTGATTCGTTGATAAAAAAAATCCGTTGAACCAAATTTTCCAGCCAGGTCGGGCATCTAAATCTGCGGTCGAACAGGCGTAAAACCTCTACATATCCATTGGTGTCATGAAAGGCGCAACTCCTCTGTATGACAGGTGTCAAACAGAGAGTAGTTTCGCCTGTTGAATGATCGACAGGAAAATTGTTAATGCTTGCAGCCAACAGGAATAAAATCAGTGCCGAAGCCCAGCGTACTTTTATCTCACAGCACCGTTTACTTTCTGCGAGCAACGACCCAAACACCTTTCCTCGCTGTGAGCAACTACCAAGGTCTGCCTCGCACCCAATGCATCCGATACCTCCAAGTATCCGTGACGCAATTAATGCATTCGAGCCTTTATCATTCTGCATCCGCGTTGGAATGAGAAGTCCGTCATCTTTGTGTTTGGGGTACGGCTGGTCAAAGCCCCGAGAACCCTTCTGCGGGGTCCAACCCTTTTTCTCCTGCAATTTTGATGTGTTTGGACGGCGAGGTATGCCGTGAGATGGATGTGTCCTTCCCGCTTTCGACCAAAAAACACTTCTGCTGCAACCAAACATTTTAAGAAAGCTCACGATATCACATCAGAAAAAACAGATGCGACCCGAGAGCGACGGCGCTCCCGTGAAAATGAACTTAAACGTGTTCGTGACTCGCAAATGTTTCGTGATGATCCAGCTCGCGTGTACTTCTTGATAGAGACGCTACGTATTGTGAATAACAATCTTCCTTATCGACTTGGCGAGTATGAAGAATCTATCGCCATTCGTGAGCTCGTCATCAAGGATGTTATGCAGGCAACTACTAATTCAAAAATTGTACGTCATTCGATAGTAAGGTTGTACGCGTCACCGAAGCGGGTACTGCTTCGGTAGTAAAGGAAGGGAAACTGCAGCTGAGTCGCGCTGGTTCTGCTCCAGCATTCACCGCTGTAGCTGATTTTTGGAGCTCAGAGGTGCAAAATGTTAAATGCCTTGGACTTCGATTGTTCATGATCAACGCGAAGTTCGAATTTGCGTCGGTTCTGCTTGGTACTAGTCACTTCGTACAGCATTATGGAGAGCGCCAAGGCGGTATACGGCGCTCATTTAAGCGCTGGATCGTAGACATATTACGCGATTTTGGATTTACGCTATGAGACTTATTCGGGGCTACTTCAGATGCAGGGCCTGATGTCAAGTGGATGATGAGTGAGGACCTCAAGCTCTAGTGGCAGTGGTGTAATCCTCATATGACTAAAACAGCTACTATGGTTGCCTGTGGTATGGTAACCGACGCTTCCACGTCTAAGAACCCTGCAATGACAGACCTGATCCGTCATATTGTGAAGACCATTTACACGGTGAAGCATGTTGAAGTAATGAACTCTTAGTTCGAAGAGCTGTGCGTCTATGTTAAGAGTAATCGAGCATCTCATCAGCTATTAGAACACCGCACTCACCTATTTTGGGGTCTTACTCGTGTGATCAAGAGAATTTTCGATCTGTGGGAGCCTTTAGTATTCTGGTACGCAGAACGTCTGAATAAAGCTCGAAGTGAAAACACGGATCTACCTGCTGGATTTACGCTGGGAAGAGATTATCAGAATCTCACACAGATTTTGTCGCTTCTGCAGCCCATAACTTAAGTGAACATCAAGAGTCAGGGCGAAAGTGCAAACCAGGTCGAAGTTTTGTTGACCTTGTACAAGATGCGTCTACAGTGTTGGATTGCTTTAAGGAACTACGGGAAAATCGCTCCAGCAAAACTCACGAATGACCTTCAGACCCGAGGACTTCACTGCATTGGCTACCTCCACTCGCTCACGGCTCCTAACGCCTTTCACAAACAAATCTTCTTCCGTTACACGAACCGTGAGGTTATGATAAATGTTCCTTTGTGTTGGAGATGCAGCTTTTCTTGTATCAAACATTTTGATGGGTTTTGAAGAAAATGATGTTTCTGTGCAATACTGATGAAAAGGGGCTGTCACTGCTGCTAGAGAACGACACTTTGTCACGATCAAGAAAATCGTCTACGACAAAGTGCGGGCAGTAATGATGTCAGTGGTAACAGCTCCAGACATGCGCGTTGCATCTTCTTAACACGAGATGGTGCCAGCACCTCATCTAACGCTCTTCTCGGAGGACCTGATGGTCTTTGGATATCTCATGACTGATACCCGCGTGGAGTCCGCACCCGCTGCCGACATAAACAGTCGCGTTGATGAAGAGTTAGAGAGGTGAGAGGCGACACCAACCTCTATTCAATTAATCGGCAATCGGCCGG